GAATTAACATATTTACTAGTGAAAATTGAATTGTTGATATCAAGAATTAACATTGTTACTAGTGGAAATGTAGTTGCTGATATCAAAAATAGCAATTGTTACTAGTAGAAATCTAATTCCTGATATCAAGAATTAACATTTTAACTAGTGAAAATTGAATTGCTGATATCAAGTATTCGTATCCTGCGAATGAATAAAAGTCAATACGGCTTGCCTATTGCCATTCCCAGGATATAAATTATTGATATCAAGAATAATATTTTTTACTAGTAGAAATTTAATTGCTGATATCAAGAATTCAATTTCTGCTAGTGATGATGTCATTGTTGATATCAAGAATTAACATTGTTACTAGTGGAAATGTAATTGCTGATATCAAAAATAGCAATTGTTACTAGTAGAAATCTAATTCCTGATATCAAGAATTAACATTTTAACTAGTAAAAATTTAATTGTTGATATCAAGAATTCATATCCTGAGAATGAATAAAAGTCAAAACGGCTTGCCATATTAAACATGGGATATAATTCGTTGTGGTTAAATCTAACGGGCAGTCTTTGGTCTCATTAATCTATTATTTGTTCCAAAGGAAATAGTTTTGGCCGAGGGCAAAGTCACATAACGTTATATTTTATTTTATTTTAACTTTAATGTTGTATATCATAGCTCTGCCTTTGTACTTTTGACTGAATTGCCTAGCAACTTTTATGATGGCTGTTGATGTGGTTTATTAAATATTATTATTCAATAAATAATATTTATATAAATAATAGTAGTATTTAATAATAGTATTTAGTAGGGATGCACCGATACCGATACTGGTATTGGTATCGGGCCCGATACTGAGTGATGTGGTTTATTAAATATTATTATTCAATAAATAATATTTATATAAATAATAGTAGTATTTAATAATAGTATTTAGTATGTAATACTATTAACACTACACTATAGTACACTAGTAATTGTGATTTTAGTTACATTTTTCCACCATTAGATGGCGACAAGAGACTGTTTTTACGAGTGAGTCAGCAGTAAAGGCTTTTATATTGAAAGACTGAAACAGGGTGGTAAACAAGTAAGTTATTTTTACTTTCAACAACACCTTGTAAGATGCAGCGCTGTCACTCTTTAACAGATGAAAGGATAGTAAGACAAAGATAATGCTTTCCTCAGCGGACATTCAAAATGTTTTATTCTGAATATGAGTTTGAGCTTTTAATACAGTAATACAATAAGCTTTTAATGAATCAAATGAACGTTCCTACGTTACTAGTTCTAAAGTGATGTTTTCTAATAATAAACGGAGGCTTGGGCTCAGCTGTTAAACTCAAACTGGAATCCGTGGCAGAAGGAAGTAGTTCCACACAAAATAGTGTTTTTAAAGACACTCCGTTGTGGTCTCTTTTTTTATTTACACACTTGTAAAAGGTACAAATAAAATAAACAGTGCTTTTCAGTTTTTTTATGTAGGTCTAACATTAGTTTTTAGTAGGGATGCACCGATACCACTTTTTCCAGTACTCGCCCGATACCGATACTTTTATTTTTGGTACTTGCCGATACCGATGCCGTGTGGTATCGGCGTTTGGTATCGGGGCATTTTAACGAGTACGAGTACGAGTACAGGAGGCCAGTATCGGGCCCGATACCGATACCAGTATCGGTATCGGTGCATCCCTAGTTTTTAGGTACAGAAATTGAATAAAGTAATCAAATGTAAAATGACATTGTATATTTGACTGTATAAATTAAAAATTAATCATTATTATTAGAACGTTACACCCCTAGTGTGTGTATATATATACAGTATATCCACCCAAATATTACTCCAATAAACTAATCTAAGCACAGTCATGATTGCAGTTACAGCCAGGCATTAGACCACATTCAAGGCAATATGGTCATAATTCTTAACATTTCTACTTTTGTTCCACAGCATTCCACATATGTTCAAGCTTTGTTTGACTTCGACCCTCAAGAGGATGGAGAGCTGGGTTTCAGGCGTGGAGATTTTATCCAGGTCCTGGACAACTCGGATCCTAATTGGTGGAAGGGGGCTTGTCACGGACAGACCGGAATGTTCCCTCGCAATTATGTCACTCCTGTCAATCAAAACATGTAACTTTCAGAGAAAATGTTTGCTTGCTTAAAACACCTGTAGACTTCCAGCTGGGTTGCCATGGAAACAGAAACCACAGAGTGATGGAGAGAAAAGGCTCAATTGGTGACATAGTTGTCGATTGGCCGGAAAAATAAAGACTGTGCTGTTTGGAGTGGTTGACATTTTAAGAAGCACTATTGGCTGTGTGAGAAAAATGAAAAATGCTCCAGACTGATATTTTGTTCATGTACTGTGTATCACATCAACTTTGCTTCATATGCAAATTTATTTCATGTTATAAGACATCAGCTGTATAAACAAAAAAAATTATTTTATGTGAAGGAAAGCCACAGTGTCACAATACTGGTACAGTTTTGCACCAGGATTCATTTTAAAACACCGTGTTATGCTTGATTTGTATTGTTAAAATGCATCAAGCATTTTTCATGCTTGATTTTTGTATTTGTCTTTTGTCATCTTTCCAGAAATAGTGTTACGGTGTTATTTGGTGTGGGATGATCAAGCATAATTTCACTATGCCATATAATTTCATTTCATACTATAGTCAAATAAACTTACACATATTCATATATTTGTCTTAAAGAGATAGTTTACACAAAAATAACAATTCTGTCATTATTTACTCACCCTCATTTGTTCCAAATGTGTATGATTCTGTAGAAGAAGTATCAGAAATGTGCATGGAAGAAAGTGTCATACAGGTTTGTAACATCATGAAGGTGATGCCAGAATTTGTGTTTTTGGGTAAACTGTACCTTTAAATCAAAATAGCTTGAAAATAATGTAATGGTGCCAAAGCCTTTGCAGCAGAACAGTGATTAAATGTAACAAATTTGGAGCATTTGATGAAGCCCTTTAAAATGGCACTGGGTATATAATTCCATTTGGGATTTTCAGTATGTTGGTTACTCTAGATGATTCCTGTATAAATTACACAGAATAAAGATACTTTCAGTGGAACCTCCCAATGCACTTGTACAGATCTTTTTTGTGTGATAAAAAAAAATCTCAAACGTTTGATATATCTGCTTAGTAGTGAACAAAATTCAATGATCTGGACTTTGTGCCATCAAGAATGATGCCATATAACTGTGCTAACAAAGGGCTGAACTTGCTCAGATGGATTACTTATTATGCATTTTTTGTAATGTCATGAAAGTTCCTTATCACACTTTATGGGGGGCATTAGGTGCCTCTTTTTGAAGCTGAGGGCTGCACACTGTTTATGATGTAATTTGAGGTTGTTACTTTTGTTTCTGTTTTTGAGTTTATTTTTGATTTGTTTTTCTTTATGTTGCCCTGATTTACTAAAAGAAAAATATCAAGCGTATGCATCTGTAGGACACTTTTTAATGCTGAATTATTATTTTTTTATCTTTAAAGTGTAAAGCTAATATACATCAAAGGATTGTAGCCTTTCAGTTTCTTTCTGTCAATGTAATTTTTCTTCAAATTCAAATTGTTTTTTAAAATGTTCGATGTATGATGAGTTGTGTTGCTTGTACACTTAGAAATGAGATGTATTTATCTCTGTGTCATAATGGAATAATGATTTATGTTGATACTAAACCATTTCATCAGCTGCAAACCTCAACAATAGAAATATACATGGCATAAATTTGCTGTCTGAATAGTGCAGTTTCATAATACTGGCGTTCATGTACACCTGTACAGTGTAGATTATGAGTGAAATACATTTACCTGTCTTAAGTGTTCATTTAATTTATTATTAAAAAATGGTGTAAATCAAGTTATGTATTACAGTATTTACAATATACACAGAATTCAGAGCTAAACAATAAAATTGACTGCTAGTATATGTATGTATGACCTTGATTAGCTGGTTCAGGTCTGTTTAATTGGGGTTGGAGCTGAACTCTGCAGGACAGTGGCCCTCCAGGAGCAGGACTGGACACCTCTGCACTATACCTACTACAGAACTCTCTTCTCAGTCAAATCTTTCACTACAGGTGCATCTCAATAAATTATAATGTCGTGGAAAAGTTCATTTATTTCAGTAATTCAACTCCAATTGTGAAACTCGTGTATTAAATAAATTCAATGCACACAGACTGAAGTAGTTTAAGTCTTTGGTTCTTTTAATTGTGATGATTTTGGCTCACATTGAACAAAAACCCACCAATTCACTATCTCAACAAATTAGAACACTTCATAAGACCAATAAAAAAAACATTTCTAGTGAATTGTTGGCCTTCTGGAAAATATGTTCATTTACTGTACATGTACTCAATACATGGTAGGGGCTCCTTTTGCTTTAATTACTGCCTCAATTCGGCGTGGCATGGAGGGGATCAGTTTGTGGCACTGCTGAGGTGATATGGAAGCCCAGGTTTCTTTGACAGTGACCTTCAGCTCATCTGCATTTTTTGGTCTCTTGTTTCTCATTTTCCTCTTGACAATACCCCATAGATTATCTAAAGGTTTTGTGAGCAACATGTAAATATAAACATGTAAATACATATAAACACACAGTAGCATAAAATGTTCATGCATTTTCAATTCCGTTAGAACGTTATTATGACAATTCCGACAGACTCTTTTCTCTTGTCTCGGTTGGTTGGAGCCACCAACAACCTCTACATGTTTATACTTGTTATTTTGTCGCCCCCTGGTGACATCTTGCAAAATAAAGTTGTTGTTTTGTTTTTTTACAATTGCACACAGATAACCAGTAATATTGTGATATTTAAATAAATAGTTTACAGAAATTGCTTAAATATTTAATAATACTTGAATACACATTAGTTCATTTTAATAGTATAATGATAAGATGAGTTGGTGATGTGTGCATGTCAGTGTTGAAATCCAGCAAATTAATAGAATTCGGAGACGTGTCTAAAAGCGCATGCGCACTGGCGAGTCCCACGACATAAGGAAACGAATCAAACAAACAAGTGCGAGGATTCCCCGTGCATCGTTTGAAGTAAGAGAGTGATATTGGACATAAATGTTTTGACAAATGTATTTTTCAACGAAGCTAGAATTTGTGCTAATTTGAAAACGGCCAAAACATTTAGCTCAGCGTTTTCAGCAAGATGTGCACGCTAGCGAACCTTGTCCATGTTCTGTTTTGTTGTCATGCAGTGCAAATGATTATATATTTATTTGTTACATTAATCAATTTGTTTATTTTATGTCTGTTATCGTTGCCCTGTTCTGATTAGCTTATATTATTTCTAATCCGGAGCAGCATGGATTCAGCATGGACTGCTCTTGATGTAGTAACTCAGACTATGGTTCAAAAAGCGATTGCCGGTATGTAAACTTTGCCTGACTTCCTCTGATAGTACGTTCAAATGCATTGGCAAGATTTTGAAAAAACAAACAAACATACCATTCGTTTAGCTCTGCAGGCTAAGAACTTTCAAAGAACAAATTAATTTATTTTACAACACTTCTTCACAGATCCCAAGACGGTTGATTTGGAGAAGCTGTCTAACGCTATTGTGGACCAGTCATTGAAAGACCTCTCATTCTGTAAAGATGCTGGCCGCATGTGTTATGCTGTAGTGCAGGTAAGTCTTTCTCATGTTGTTCATTAACTAGTGACCTAGTCAAAACATAAAGCTGTTTTCATGAGCCTACATCTGTTCTTTGTTGCTGCTGTCTCCAAAAACACACAGGATGAAATCAATCTCCACTGAAACCCCTTTTTTTATTACATGGTGAATAATCATTTAATCACTAAATAGGCAGAAGTTCAGAAAGCTGCAACCAGTGTATTCAGGCGAAATCTGTTGACGCGTCTACAGCAAGAGTTCACTGCCAGAGAGGAGACCCGAAACCGCTCAGTGCAGGAGTGGGTGTGTTTGGTCACATTTATCTGCAGCATATTTGATTACATCAAGGTAAAAGATATCACTCGCAAGTTTTTTTTTTTTTTCTGCCACAAGGTTTTAGACTTGCTTATATGATGTTTTATTTTTAGGTGAACAATGCACCTCTTGTGGCCCTTGTGGATCCAATATATGACTGCCTCTTTAGGTTGGCTCAGCCTGATGCCTTGATGAATGAGGAAGAGGTAAGATGTATTTCAGCACATACATATTTGAAAGTAAATTTCACTTTGGGAAGAATTTTTGAATGTCTGCTCTGCTGCTTTGGAACCTTAACCTTGTTTCAAATTAATGTTGTCAAATGCTTGATAGATTTTATGGTACAGGTTTTAAGAATGTCAGAGGACAAACTAATGTTAGCTTTATACTTGTAAAATAATTTAGTGGAATATTTTACATGTGAAATTAGGAGTAATCCAAGTTTACAGTATTCATAAAACTGTAGTTAAAAAATACCCAGATGACTCATGATTTCTGCCGATATTCTGAAGTGAGCATTCAAAAGACTTTTTGCGATCCCATGAAACAGTGAGAGATTGTTCATAAATGACTGACACCGTAGGCCACTTGACAATGGAAAAACTGTCTTATCAATCACTAAACAACTGAGGACCATACACTACCAGACTTTCAAGTGGTTCCAAACAAACTTAGACAGAAACATGTTGCTGGTAGGCATATGACACATATGAATTGTGTTCTGTGTTTATGTGCACATAAAATCTTCTGATTGCATAGAATCGTAGTCTGACGCTAAAGTTTTTGCCCATCATACACACTGCACCAGTGGTTCTCAAACTTTTTACAGCAGCGTACCCCCTGGGGCATTTAACATTCTTTTGCGTACCCCCTCTCTTCCACTTAGACCACAGTCATTTTCTATTAAAGGACATTATTTGCCCCCTTAAATTGATTTACATGTGCATTTTTTACCTTTTATAGAGGCAAATATTTTCTATTCTTATTAATTGTATGTCATGTTTTATGTCATATTCTTAACATTCCATTAAGTGTATTATTAATATAATAAAGCAATAGATGATGGCAAATTGAAGTGATAGCCTTCTTGTAGATTTAAAAATAAAACTGCCAATAGGTGGCGGCAAGTCGCTGTCTTAATGAGCCAGGCGTCGGGTCAATTAATTAATCCATTCATTCATTCATTCATTCAGTAACGAAGCAAAATGCGGTAGTTATGAATGGGTTATTAATCACGGACTCTCCAAATCGTTCAAAGCCGCAGATTCGTTCACTAATGAAACACCGCTGTATGTTGCTTGGAGACGCACACCAGATGATACGGATTTCGTTTGGAACTATTATTTCGTTGCAAAATAGAACAAACATGACAATATTCTGTTTAAAATGTAGGCTACATTTAAAATGTTCACTTAATATTACCTTTTTTGTTGAACTGTTGTAAAAAATTGTCACATTTGCCATCGTTTGGATATTCAAGGAAAGAAATTTGCATTCTTGCTCGTATTTTAAACATGAAAACAATAACACAGGGTATGTGTCTGAAGAGAGTTTAAAGGGGTCATATGATGCTATTTTAAAGATCATTATTTTGTGTATTTGGTGTAACAGAATATGTTGACATGCTTTAATGTTCAAAAAACACATTATTTTTCAAACTTGAAATCGCATCATATGACCCCTTTAAATCGATCTCAGTGTACAGTGCGTGTCAATATTTGCTCTTCATGCTATTAAGTGAAGATCTACTTATTGAACAGCAGCGCGATTTGCTAACGCAGTATATTTCTTGTGTGGATGCAGTCAGTTTTGACCGCATAAGATGAGGTAAGTAAGCTGATTGGATATCATGTTTTTGACCGTTTACGGCACCGTTTTCCTGTTTTTACATTAGAAGTGGCATTTTGCTCGTCAGAAATACGTTTGTTTTTAATGTTACTTTAAGTTGGGGTAGAATTAAATGAATGCCAAAACTCAGAATTTTGTTCGCGTACCCCCTCCGTCACCTCACGTACCCAAGTTTGAGAACCACTGCACTACACAATGTGAAAGTGACATGACATGTAGCCAAGTATGATGTCCCATTTGTACTCTGCATTTCACTCTGCATTTTCTGCTAAATCTGTAGAAAATCTGCAGACTGAATGTAACTTCATGCAACTAGCTTTGACTTGTCCAGACTGCAAATTGGGGCAAAAATCTGCAAAAGTAGTGCAGTGTATTCCAGCTTTTAACAACATACAGTGAGCGCTTTCTTCTGATTCCTCACTAACAGCACTCATTTAAACATACAATAAAGTGCTTATTATGAATAGAGAGGCAGAGTAACATCACTGTAAATAATGACAAAATAACGTTATTGGACGTAATAAGACTTATTGTCTTGTTGTACTTGACCATCTAATCACAAATTTGTGCTGAAATTGATGAATCAACAATAGATAAGCCTAATCGATTACATTATTAAAGGTGATTAATCAATTACTCATTGACATCCCTATGCAAATGTAGTATGTGGATTAAAAAGCCTTTATTATCAAATGGCTACATCCAAGAAATCTAAAAACTCTAAAACAGAGTTTTTAGATTTCTTGGATGTAGCCATTTGATAATAAAGGCTTTTTAATTCACAAGAGTGTCATGGTCATTCTGAAGTATTCTTTGATGGACTGTTATAAACCCTAGACCAGAGAGCACCTTGACCTTACAGCACCAGAACCCCGAGATGCACTCTCTACTATTGGACTTTGCTTGTAGTATGTGGATTGTTGAATCTAGCACCTACTCTGTCTGTACATGATTTTGGAAGTAGCAAAAGACGGTTTTAACAAATTTAAGCTTATTCTGGATCCATGACAGCTAAATGCAAGAATTTACTTTGTGTTTCTAACAGGTGGACTGCCTGGTCGTACAGCTCCATCGTGTCGGTGAGCAGCTGGAGCAAACAAACTCCCAGCGCATGAATCAGCTGTTTTATTTGCTACGGGATGGTTTTCTCCTTCAGGAGGACCTCAGCTCCATGACAAGACTCTTGCTCCTGGAGATCTTGGAGTTCAGGGCCAGTGGCTGGACCCTCACTAACACTGCGCACAAGTACTACTACAGTGAAGTAGTTGACTGAGGGGGACTGTGAAGAGAATGATGTTCCTTGTTAGCATTAGGATTTCAAGCGTTCAGTGTTCTCAGAAGGTCTAAAGAGTACTTAATGGGAGAAAAAAACCATGTAATAATACTATGGAGAATTATGACGGAGCTCGTGTTCATGCATTTGCATGTGTTGTGTTCAGAGTTTGAGTTTAGCTCAGAATGTTCAGTTTTGGTGTTCTCTTTTGAAGTCAGCATCATGAATCTGCACTGGATATTGATTTGATGCAATAAGAAAGGCAATCACTACCAGATCCAAAACTGTGAGCCACCAGCAGTATTCTTGAATGGTAGTTGTCTTTTCTGTTTTTTTGTTATTCTTAGAGGTTTGATACAATGTACACTCTTCATATTTTTACAGGCAGAAGGATCGTATTGCAACCTCAGAGGACGATCGTCTGACCTTTTCCTGTGTTGTTAAAACAATAGGATACCTTGTAAAAGTTCCTTAATTTTATATTAGTTTATAATGGCCTACATTGTTAAAGTTTTTGAATGGGCCAATATGTGTGAAATATGTTCAGTCATGTTGGCTGCTGTAAGTTTATTTTTCAAAACTTGAGTGTTTACATTGTCTTGTTTATATACTATAAAGTCTGCTATATTGAATTTCATAAATATAAGTTTTGCTTGCTCGCTCTCTCTGCCAAGTTATAAGCATTTCATAAAGTACATGGTTGTAGAATGGGATATTAGAGTTTAACAGTATGGCTAGTTTGACTAAATTGTCATTTTGTAAGTTACTAAGAATGACTTTAAACCGCGCGTATAGAAAATAATCACCCCCTTTAAAATAATCAAATTTTGTTGCTTTGCAGCCTGAAATGAAGACGGACACAGTTTTTGTTTTATCCAGCTGTATTTACTCGACTTATAACATCCAAGTGAACGATAAAACACCAACATGTCAGAAAAAAAAATGGAATCACCCCCCCTCCTAAAAATGACTTGTAAACTCAAGTGGTGTAGCTAAACGGTCACCGTGATTTTGCCAAGTAAGACATGTTCCTGGATCAACATCTTTTGTTGATCCTGGATCAACATTACTGTCCAAAAATATAGACTAAACCCAATCCCTTCCCCTAACCCTACCCATAATTTATTCCTAAAATCAGTGTGAAATGATAGCTGATTACCAAGGGTGTAGAAGCACCTAACCCTGATCGTAAGCCTAAAACAGATATTTCCTGAAAAGTTATCCCTCAATTCTGATTGGTTACTTGGAATGTTGTTCCAGGATAAACAAGGATGCTGATCCAGTAACATGTTGTACTTTGTGAAATCACGGTCACCATAGCTAAACACCTTCTCAATGGTACACTAAGCCATTTGACTTTCAACTGTCATAAGCTGTGGTCATTTTGATTAGCTCAGCATGAAAAGAGCTTTCCTGCAGCATTTCAGTCCTTGGTAGTGCAACTGAAGCAAACAATCAACTATGGGTGGCAAGGCACTGCCAAAAGATCTCTAGGATAAAGTTGTGGACAGGCACAAGTCAGGAGATGGATGCATTGGAAAGGAGACCAGAGGCCTTTTTTTTTTTTTTTGAATGGATGTCAATGGAGGAGAGACTTCATTATGCTGAATAAACGGCTTTTTAGAGAAAACGGCTTATCATTTAGTGAATCGACAACCTATCGGCTAATCTTCAACATGTTTACAATAAACAGAGTTTACACCGAAAAAAATGGCGTTTTATAAGAGAAGTCACTGACTTTTTGTGACAGGTGGGATTCGGCTTATGGCACTTCTCATTCATTCCTATGGTATCCGTAAACGGCGATTGAGTGTCACACAACTCTGACTGAAATTCAATGACGTCAAGGCTGTAATGTGATTGGTTATTAAGGCACACGTGATCCAAGTTGACCGTTACGCTTTCTCCAATAGTAAGTAATACAGACCCTCGTATCTCCCAATTGTAAAACAATCTCTGTACTAGAGTGGAATCAATCTAGGATCAGTACAGTTCTAACTAATCTGATATAATCTCATCTAAATTAATTTGTGCCAATGAGACCAGAACTAGTGTCATGTGTAGCCTGGTCAACGGATTCACATATTGATGTACGCAAACATGTGATCATAGTTAATAATTGACATAGGTAGCTGAAAAAAATATATTTTGGGTGAGCTGTTTAACTTTAAATTCTGCTTGGGGTCTCTGAGACCCCAGCTATAAAACATAATTCACTTTCTGTCTGGTGTTGAGGTTACAGTCCCTTGCATCAGGTGGGGTCGCGAAGCGCCAATTTTTTCAAACCAGCTGTCCCGATCTTCCAATACTGCATGACGTTCGAGGATTCAAACGTCATCAATCACGTGGTGTTACACAGTGTGTGATACAATGGTGCTTTGAAAACTGCGTCGGAGCGTCAGAGCCGCTGTATCAACCATCCCATCACTACAGTGAAGTCTATTATTAAAGGGGTCATATGATGCGATTTAAATTTTTCCTTTCTCTTTGGAGTTTTATAGGCTCTTGGTGCATAAAGAAGATCTGTAAAGTTGCAAAGACTAAAGTCTAAAATCCAAAGAGATATTCTTTATAAAAGTTAAGAGTCAACCACGACTACCTGAAACGGCTCATTCTAATACGCCCCCACATGTCTACTTCACGATGTGGGAAGATTTGCATAACGCCGCCCAAATGTTCACACAAAGAAAGAAGGCGTAACTTTGATTCTCGCTGTAGCATTGTTGCTGCCGCCGCCATGTTGTGGAGATGCTGTGTGTTCCCTTTCGATCTGGTCACTTTACATTGCTATGGGAATTACCCTTTCCTCCAAATACTACTGAAGCCTTATTGAATCACACCAGTGAAACTGGCCAATGGCGTTCAAGCACACGAAATATGAGGGGCTCCCACTCTATATAAAGCAGCGCTTGTACGTCATCTATTCAGAATCTTTTTCCTCAGCCAACCTTCTACGAGAAGCAAGAAGCCTATCAACAATACTACTCACCGTGATCTACGCTGCTGCGGACATGCCTTCTCTTGCCCTGCTGTGTTCCGGTGAGCTTCGGAAAAAAGGATGACACGCGATTGCGTCTCCTGCACAGAGCCAATCGAACTCTCTGATGGCCACAAGTCGTGCGTCTTCTGCCTGGGTCGCGCCCACGTAGAGGCGGCGCTTGGGGGGTCGGACTGCCCCAACTGCGGAGATATGAGCCTCCGGACTCTCAAGCTCCGTGTGGCCATCGTCCAAGGCGATGAACTTGCTCAACTAGCCCTGCCGCGCTCTTCCTCTGCAGCCTCTTTCGAGCCAAGGAGGAAAGTGCTGCCTGCTTCTGATGCGGATCTGTCAGGGTCAGGTGACGAGCCCGCGCCAGCTCAGTGCCCACGTGCTCCTCACCCCCCTGCTGCAGGTCCCCTTCCAGTGCGCTCCATGACCGCTGTTCTCCGCCTTTCATTTCATTTGTATATTTGTTTTATTGTATTTGTCAGTTTGTTTTACTTTGTTTCTTTGTTCATGTTCTTACTGTATCTTATCTTATGTATAAAACACTAAGAATGCCTGCACACTGGTGCATTTACAAATTGATGTTTTATATTCATTTCATTAAATATTTATTTTACATTTCAGAATATAAAGCAATGTTAATTCAGCTCTTAATTTATATATATATATATACAGTATATATAAAACAAAAAGTACCGATAAGAATACCGTTAAAGTACCGAATCGATAAGCTGTATCGGTAAGAGTAGTAATACTGTTAAAACCTTAACGATACCCATCCCTAGACCTCCGTCATAGTGATGTCGAGCTCCTTAGCATCCTGTCCAAGGCAGTTGATGAGCTCGGTTTGGAGTGGGCGCCTCCTGCCGAGTCAGCCAGAAGCCGTCTGGAGGAGTGGTACCTCCAGTCGGATCGCGGCCGAAAGGACACTCCGCGGAGGCCCGGCCCCTTTTTCCCCGAGGTGCATGATGAGATAACAAAGTCGTGGAACGTGCCGCTCACCAGTCGAGTGCACAACCCGGGATCCTCCCTCCTGTCTTCTGTGGACGGCGCTGACCAAGTGGGGTATGTTAAACTTCCCCCCCCGTGGAAGAAGCCGTCGCTGCCCATCTCTGTCCTTCAGTCTCGGCGAACAGGTGTATCAGGCCAAGCTGCTCAAGTCTCTGGATGAGGACGGGCCGGACCCTGAAGTGTTCAAAGAGCTCCGACGCGCCACGGATCTGACCCTCAGAGCGACGGTGGTGGCAGCTCGAACGATCGGCCGCAACATGGGGAATCTTGTGGTGCTAGATCATCACCTGTGGCTTACTCTGACCGAGTTAAAGGACTTGGAAAAAATGGCCCTTCTGGATGCTCCCGTGAATCCCTCAGGTCTCTTCGGAGCAGTGGTAGAGACGTTCATGGATCGCTTCGTTGAAGCACAGAAACAGTCAAAGGCTATTAACCACTTCCCGCCAAAGCGCGCAGACGCGATCTCTCCTGTGCGTTCCCTCTCCTCCTCAGCGCAGCGCATGGGAAGACCGCACACCTCTTCTGCTGCTGTTCGGCGAGAACATGATCCGGCGGTGAGACCAAGACAGCCTTGGCCGAAGCGCCGTCAGGGCTCGAAGGGCCAGAGACCCCGCCCTGACAGAGACGGCAGGCCACCGGCACCGGAATCAAAGCCGCGTTCCTGATGCTGTCTCTCGGCGGAGGAAATCTGCACCCAGCGCCGAAGACGAGCCACTGAAAAAGTTTGCTCGCTCGGCTGTGTGTGTTCACCATGCCCCCCTGCCTGTTGCGGGCGGCGAGAGCAATTGTCATGTTTGTGTTTTGACTGTTCCACTATGCAGTGCAATAAAGTCAAAAAACATACAAAACTCACCTCAATATCAAAGCAATTCTCCTCCTCTCACTCCCCTCTCCCCCATCACTCACTCTCACACTTGTGTGGTATTAAACTCCCCGCCCCCCAACGGCGAGTTATCCCTCACAGTGTGCAGTCCAACTCGCCTGCTGTCACGGTTTACAGAAGCGTGGCAGGCACTGCCAGGGGTATCAGAGTGGGTTATGAAATCAATAAAGAACGGCTACACGCTTCAGTTCTTCTGCAGGCCGCCCCGATTCAACGGCGTGTTAATGTCCACTGTACGGGAGCGGAATGTCTCAGTTCTGCAAGAGGAAATACACAACCTCCTCGCTGCGCTATAGAGACAGTGCCCCTAGCAAACCGCAAGAGCGGCTTCTACAGTCGCTATTTTCTGGTACCAAAGACGGCGGACTCCGCCCAATCTTGGATCTGAGACCGCTGAATCGCGCGCCTTCGAAGTGCTCGTTCAAAATGATTACGCTGAGACAAATCCTCTCACATATCAGACCGAGAGATTGGTTTATCTCTGTGGATTTAAAGGATGCTTATTTTCACATTCAGGTAGCACCTCGCCACAGGCGTTTCCTGAGATTTACATTCGAGGGGATAGCGTACCAATTCACGGTCCTACCCTTCGGTTTATCCCTGGCCCCTCGTACGTTTACGAAATGCATGGATGCTGCTCTCTCTCCTCTGAAGCGGAATGCGCATCCTGAACTGTCTCGACGATTGGCTAGTTTTAGCCCAATCAGAGAGCGCGCTGCTCACCGACAAGCTCAGACTCCTTGCTCATCTTCAGAGCTTAGGGCTGACTGTGAATATGCAAAAGAGCATGCTGGTACCAAGC